TGACATGCACACGGTGCTGTGGTCACCTGGGAGGTAGACTTGAACGGGTTGACCTTGTTGATGACCCCTCTCAGCACACCGGGGGTCTGAAACAGAGGTATAATACATAAATACACATGCTCCATACTGCTTATCACCTGACATGTGTGTCCTCTGTGTGTGTGTCTAATGAAAACACATGTTGTGAATTTTCAAAACAATTACTTCAATCTTCATACAATACATTTTGACTTTACAACGCTCTGGAGTTAATGAAAAAGTTTGGATCACACGAGTCAGGAATAATCCCACACAGCGACCTCTGTAAATGAATTATATAAATAATGAAATGCTTATTATATTTGTTTAGCATTAATATTTGCAAGTGGAAAGTATCAGGGTGTACACGGAAGACATGGACACAATTACAAAAAAACAAAGCTGGGTATTGTTTAAATGCTGATTTAGTTTTAAACGTTATAAATGATGCTTTGATAATGATGTATGCATTAGAGGAAGTGACACATAGGGGTTAATTTATTTCATTAGTACGTATATAACTTACTTATTTCAGTTTTTTATTTGCGTCATGTATCTCTCACACTATTGTTAATCTTTCTTTTTGTCTTAAGTATACTGCATGTTGCACTGGGGACTTTGTTCATTTGACAATAAAACGTTTTTTTAATATTTTTCCTCAGTCTTCATTTTAGACACGCTGTTACGTTCCGGCTCGGGGAAAAGAGAAAGTAAAATAAAACCTGTTGGTAAATTAGAAGTTGTTTAATGAGAAAAGAGATACATTTTAGTTGGCAAATGCGAGGTGTGAACTGGTGTACTTAGCATTGTTTGGTTGTGATCAGTTCGCTAAAAACACAACTGAAACATACAATATTGACACTTCCTGTTCTATACAAATGAATAGGGATGCTTGTTTTGGGTGTCGACAGAGCTGCTTTTAATACACAAACAGAAGAAGAAACCAATTAGTCCCCGTGATATAAAAAAGGTATATTTCTCAGTAGGGATGTAACGATACCAAAAACTCACGGTACGATAATATTGCGATAAAAAGTCCACGGTACGATATTTATCGCGATATTAAAAAATGAAGGAATTTTTTTTGATTTTTTTTTTTTTTTTTTTACATTCATTTTTTTTTCTTCATTAAATAATAAATCTGATTTGTACAGCATTTTAGTAGGATAGTAGTATTTTAAAGTGTCAACAATATAATAATCAGACCCTGCAATAGAATAAATCAAGTTTCACTTTAGTTTTTCAAGTAACTCAACTCTAACTCACTCACTCAGCATCATCAAGGTTATCTTTTAGGAATATGAGCATGTCCACATTTCCAGGTAGAAGCTGGGATGTTTGGGCGTTTGCAATATCCCCTGCTGTGGAAACAACTATCTTGCTTGGTACTGATGTTGCTGGGACAGAGAGATATGCTTTGGCCATGGGTGACAGCAGTGGGTCAAACTGTGCATTGTCTCTCCACCACTTCAAAAACAATACAGTGTTTGCCAAGAAGGTGAGGCTTATTGACAGGGCGAGGTATAGATATACTGTTGGTACTTGTCAATGTCTCTAGGTATGTACATGTAGCCCTGTAAATACGATGTCCTTTTGTGTTATCTGTTGTTTTATGTTCATGTTGTAACCTACTTGTTGTCATGTTGGACAGGTCTCCCTTGAAAAAGAGAATGATGATCTCAATGGAACCATCTGGTTAAATAAAGGTTTAAAAAAAAAAATTTTTTTTAAAATATATATATATATTTAAACATTAAAAAAAAATCGCGATAGATTTTTATCAGTCTCACGACGGCATTGAGACATCTATTTACCGCGATATTCGATATATCGTTACATCCCTATTTCTCAGTGTAACAATCATTTTCCAGACCATGCCTGTCTCCACCTGAGATTTCCTCACCTGTGTGGCGTCGGTTCCCTGCTCCAGTGACTCTGAGGAAGGAGCTTTGCTGACTGTGGAGGACGCCTGAATACAGAACAACGTTTAAATCATATTCTACTTTAAGTTTTCACATTCACCGTTTCATGTTGGCATGTTTTACCTGGGAGGTAGACTTGAACGGGTTGACCTTGTGCATGACCCCTCTCAGCCCACCAGGGTTCTGAAACACAGGGTTTCACATATGTCATAAACTGATTCACTCAAAATATGACACCTTGCGGCTGTATTAAAGGAATGTACAGCTAGGACTTAAAGTCTATATATATAGTCTACATAAAGTCACCTACTGTGATTTAAAAAACATCCGTATTGAGGCCTTATTGGAGCCAATGTTAGCTAAACTTACACACAAATGAATGGTTATCAGGTTTTTAAACAACAGGAGCAGCAAAAGTTTAGTTTCTTCAAACATTGAAAAAACACATTGTGGTACACAGGCTATTTCTTTCAATTATCTACTAAGTTTATGCGTTAATTGATCAATTCTAAAAAGGTGAACTAGAAGGCCATCCAGAGAGTGCAAACCACCTCTAAGGCTGTTTCCATCAGTGAAGAAAAAAATAACGTTTGTATTCGCCTTGTGCTTGCATGACAGTGTGAGAGGAAAAACCAATTGCAAATAAACAAAATGTGGTTTTAATATAAAAGGTACGTTCTCCTCACCTGTGTGGAGGCGGTTCCCTGCTCCAGTGACTCTGAGGAAGGAGCTTTGCTGACTGTAGAAGGGGGCTGAATAAAGAGCACACATTTAAAATCATATACGTTTACATGAATTAGTCAAAGTCATGAAAGGTAAATGCTGGCATGTTGAACCTGGGAGGTAGACTTGAACGGGTTGACCTTCTGCATAACTCCCATCATTCCTGTCGTCTGTTCACACACAAACACATTATGACAAATAAACCACCGGTGAGGTCAAGTGTGACTAACTGATAAAGAAGATATTTCACATGTGACTCACCTTGGTCTTTTGGTTAAGTTCACTTGTGACATCACTGGTGGCACCCGTCCCTTCATCCTGTGTGTTCAGGCTGTGCTCCACAGGATTATTTAGATCCTGGTGGCAAAGAAACGCCTTCATTAAGGAAACAAACAAATGCAAACAATATCCTATTATAACCTCCACCTCTCTCCATTCTGTACCTCCTGGCTGGGTCGAGGTGGAACCACTGGAGCTGCTGTGCCTTTATCTCTCCTGAACATATTCATGCTGAAATACAGACAGTTTTAAACATTAGGACTGCGTGCGACAAAATAATCAGAGATCATTTATTCGTCCCATATTGGGAGAATGTACGTTGTAACAGAAAACGTGAAGATAGAGACACAAAATAAAACACTAACAGTGGTGTAAAGTAAGAAAGTACATTTACTCAAGTACTGTAACATTTTCAGGGACTTGCAGTTGACTTTTTCAATGCTTTGCTACTTTGTACCTCTACTTCACTACAATTATTTAATACCTTTAGTTACTTTACAGATTTGGATTAATGATAATGTCAATACTTCTCTACTTTTACTTTAGTAACATTTTGATTGTAGGACTTTCCCTTTTAACAGAGTATTCCTACTCTCTGATACTTCTACTTTTATAGAATCTGGTATAGGATCTGAGTACTTAAGATAAAGGGCATGCACATAATATAACATTTAAATGTAAAGTTATTCCCATTAACTTAAAAGGCAGCCAGTATGCTAATACTTGTATTTCTATAGGTACATATTACAAAAACACGGAAACATAAAACATGGCACCAACTAAATGATATATTTTTTATATATCTTAAGCACAAAAGTACTATTGTGCTAAGAAAACCGAAACAGCATGACCAGAACACGTGACTCAAAGCTGCACAGGTGGGTGTAGTTTCAGTACCCTTCTCTCTGGATATACCCACATGCCAAACTATATTAAAATAATTGACAATTTTAAAGAATACTTTGTGTAACACATAATTTGCTTTATTTGTTACGTAGGAAATGAATGCTTGTGAAGTCTTAGGCTTTACTGACAACATCGGTTTAGTGATATTTGTCATTCAGGACTTTTTTGTGTGTAGTTTGTGTACTTTATTCAGGTGATACCGATACGTTTTAAAGCCGGAATGAAATCTTAGCGAGCAGTTTCGAAAACTTTAAACGTAGTGAATGTATGTTTTTGTTTAAAATAAATACGCCGAATTAAAACACGTGTCAAAGTGAGTGTTAAAGTCTTAAAATCGTTTCTACAACATGTAAGCTGGTACAAAAAAAGTGTATAAAACCTTTAAATTGACAGAACTTTGAACGCAGTTTGGCTTGTTGAACAGTATCGTACAGGAATGTTTGACAACACAAAAGCCAGCAACAACACAATGAAAAGAGGAATTGTGCCTACCTCAGGGTTGAGACTGAAAGAAAACAAAGTGACAATAAAAACGCTGCTTTTGCAACAACAACAACAGAGAGGTAAAGGAGTTTTAAAAGTTGAAGGTAACGCAGTCCTTCACTTCCCCTTCATGGAGAGCCGTCTAACCGGTTAGTGTAATACTGAACCTAATATTCCTGCTCTCATTTCAGCTTTTTTTTCTTTTACTTTGAGAGGTGAACAAAAGCTGAATACAGTGGGTTAATAGGTGATAATCCACACCTTGAAAGTTGTGGGTCGTTAGAGAAGAGATGTCCTTATGCAGATCAGCTGTGATACCTGAAGGGGGTGTGGCCTATTTCCTGTTGAAGCCTTAAGGAAACACCTCAGGTTTAAAAACGAGAAAATGTAGGCTGAAAATCTATTTAAAAAATACAAATGTAAGGGTTTAAAGTAAAACATCTATTATATAACTTGAGTGGTATTTACTTTGAAATATGATGTATTTAGTCATTATTTGAAAATAACTGAATCAGTAAATATTCACCTATTTTTACCACAGTTCTACAAAAGAGTCTTAACACAATTCCTCAATGTATTTACATCTCTAAATAGTTGAATTAGAGTGTTTACCATGACAATATTAACACCATTGAAATCAGTTTAAAGTATCAAGCAAATAGTCTTTATTCAAACATTCTGTTACACTGACATATCTTAATATATATTAATACATTCAACGACAAATAAATGCATGAGTATAACCCAGAAAAAATTATTTGACAATAAAAACATAAAGTAATAGACACATTTTTGTAATCACAACCTATTAACATGTCAAAAGTCTGCTTTAAGTTTGACAATTTGATAGAATATTATAAAGGTTATCAAGGTAGGAATAGTATAACCGTGTCTACCTGCAAACACAAAGACATTTACATGGATGCCACATGGTAAGACCAAAAGAAGAGGAGAAATAAACATTCTTCATTACTCAGATGTGTAGTTATTTAGTAATTTGAATCATTGTCTTAGCACAGTTACATATTAAAAATAAATTACCCTATATACAACATTCATTTTTATTGTGAATATGTAAACAATATCGTATTCAACAAAAAGTACTGTAATGCTGTAGGTAAACACTACTACTTTACCAACCTATCATGTATTTTTACAACAATTTAAAATGTTACAAACTCCATAAGGCGATGCAAGGGTCCTTCTTTGTCTGTGTCGTTTCATTGTAGATTCTCAACTAAAAACATTTGTATCATTATACCGATATCTGACATTGGGGTTTGTAAAACTTTCCTAAAAATAGGAAATGCAGAAAATAAAATACAATTGAACACATGGTTGAAACTGTGTCAGAAAAGTGAAATAAAGCTCCTTCAGTAAATACAGTGGGTGGATAATTTTAAGCAAAAATCATTTCAAATATTTAAACTAAAACACCTGTGACCACAAAGCTACTTTTAACGGTTTACCCTCAGAACATGCATACAGTGCTCAAAAAAAGTGCCCGTTTCCCTGTTAACCTTTTCATGTGCATACAATAAACATCTTACACTTTTTCACAAATACAAGAGCAATCTACAGCCTCAATGGATATTTAAAATAAAACAGCCTTAAATGTCTGAAACTGCAGGTACTGGACCGATGGACTCCTTCACACCGACAGTTCCCTCATTTAGCCAGTAGAGGGGGTGGTGGTGCCTTTAGAAATACCTATATTCAAAGTGTCCTTCTGCAGGAAGTAGCTCACAGGTTTTTAAAGAAATACCTATATTCAAAGTGTCCTCCTCACATGTTTCCGGTAGCATCCTGCAGCTCCTCTCGGATGGAGTTGAGCTCCACTATGCCGACGTTGAGCACATTGGCCACCTCCTTTATCTTACACACCACCTCCTTCTTGCAGCCTTTCTTCAGCTCTCGGGTGTCCTTGGCGAAGTACTTGTCCATGCCGGTGAAGAGTCCTTGGACGGAAGCGACCAAGTCGTCCGTTGTCTCCGTCCCGCGCATCACGGGCTTGTCCACCAGGCTGATCATCTGCACCGCGCGGCGGATCTCCCAGTCCTTGGAGTAGTGTTGGGTGCCCGACCGGAGGAAAGGGTGCCCGCGGAGCTTGATGAGGCCCTGGTTGACAAAGTGGAGGATCTTCCCGATGGCCAGCAGGTGAGCTTCATAGTCACCAAGCACTATCTCCACCTAGGGAAGACACAGGTAGACTTAGCTAAAGTACTTTTAAATGGTTTGTGGGTCAAACTAGAGGCCAGTTTTTATTAGTTTTGGAAAAAACTAAAGGATCTTATAGTTCGAGGGTACATACACAGTTTTACTAAAACTATTGTGAGCTTTATAGTTACTAGGTACGACTGTGGCTATTTTCTTAGTTTTGGGGAAAACTTTGACAGTCTTTTAATGTTTCTTTTATTATCTTTTCTTTTTAACGACTGTTTTTAAATGCCTTTGTCTGAATGTCTTTCATTTTTGTAAAGCACCTTGAATTGCCCTGTGTTGAAAGGTGCTATATAAATAAACTTGCCTTGGGAAGGAAGAGGAGGGAGAGTCCATAGTCTTCGGTTTGATGTTAAAACAAGTCATTTCAAGCAGGAGTTTGGACCAACCAGTGCTTTTCTACATTTGTATCTTTGAAAGTGTGCTAATTCATGACATAAAACAAGAGGTAAACACACACCTATTGTAATGAGGTGCTGGCTTGCAGGCTTTTTATACATGGAAATAAATAGGACTCCTTTCCCATTGACAGTAGGGAGATTACCTTTCAGTTTATTTCCAGGTGTGTTTTTTTCTCGTCTTAAATTCAATGTCTCGTTCAAACTCTCAAACCAGAGTTGGTGAATGTTGAATCAGTGGAAAGACTAACCAAAAAGATTTTTTTAGGAGTTTTATTTTGCTTCTGTTGAGTTTATGTGGTTTAAAAATGACGTTTTTGTTGATGGAGTTTGGTGGCTTTGACGAGAAGATATTGATTGTATGTTTTGTTCTTGAGAAGTAAAATGACTTGGTTCTGCAAAATAATGATTTAAACTTTCAAAATAACTTAACACTTAACTAAGTCATTATTTTGAGTATGTTAGTCCTTAAAATGACATCCATCAGGTCTTGATTTTTTTTATACTGGCACCAATTGGCTTCCATACTTCTGTGACATTTCCTCCCTTTTCAGATTATGGCTCACCTTCTTGCGGTCGTGCAGGTTGTGAACGTTATCTGAGATTGCCGCTGAGGCTGAAGCGATTCCTCCGGCCGTCGCCACTCCCACACCAACAGCGGTTATCACCAGAGAGGCTCCGAAGGTAAAAGGTGCCAGAGCCAGACCAGCGATGGCCGCCACCCCCCCCCACAGCCGTGGTGGTTCCTCCGGTGATGCTGGCGATCTTGGCTTTGTGGTGGAAAGTGTTGATGTTGTCGGCGATGGCGTGCAGCCTGAGGATGGACTGCCAGAGGAACTCGGCTCGCTCCGTGAAGATTTTGTTGAAGACACGCAGGCCGTGTTGAACCTTGTCCGCCAAGATGGTGAACGACCTGGGGTTTATTCGGAAGCAGAAGCAAAGTTATGCTTGGTCCTGTCAGTAAGTTTTAATTGAACTATTCATATCTTAGACTGCACTGTAACTTTTATCCATGTATTTTTTCTTTTAATGTTTATTTTATTAGCTTTTCTTTTTAATGACTGATTTTAAATGCCATTTTCTTAATGTCTTTCATTTTTTTGTAAAGCACTTTGAATTGCCTTGTGTTGAAAAGTGCTATATAAATAAACTTGCCTTGCCTAAGAAAGCAGCCAAACAAATGTAAACCCATTACATTTTCCAAAAGCCAAAGGTCTACTCTTTTTACAAATCCAAACTATATTTAGTTTAGCATCATATATGGCAAAGAAAACCTCAAATGTTTGGCTTTTTTGCTGGAAAAGTCACTGAAACAAAGAATCAAGGACTTTTCCTCCCACAATCAGTTGTACAAGCAGCTTGTTTATAATTTTACAAGACCAATACTTCAAAATTAATATAAACTGACGTACTTAGATTCGTCCTCTTTTAAGACTTTGTCCTCGTCGTCTGATGGCACCTCGTCCCATTCTGAAAGGAAGCAACAGGTGTCATCCAAGTGCTTTTGTATTAATCAGGTTATTCAATCTGTTACTCAAAATAAATGTCAATGTGACTCACGCTCCACTGTGTGCCACCACTCCATCAAACTGTCCGTGTCCTGTGACGGAAACAAAAAGCATAAGTGTCACAACATCACAAAAGGAAATTCACACGCCATTGTTGACTTCTATCCTTGCTGTTCTTGAAAAACAGATTCATTTCCATTCATTCATTTAAAAAAGGTTCCTAGGTTTATTATTTTCAATTAATAGTATTTTTATTATTTATTTGAACGCAGGTCACCACAGAGACCAAGTGAACTATACGGCGGCCATTTACACAGTATTTAAATTAAAGGTTGAATGAAAGACTAAAAAAGGGAAATGCATTGTGGTGAAGTGGACGATTTGCATTTAATCTAATTAAATAGAAACTGACCCCGTCCTCGTAGTCGTCCTCCAGCTCTTCTAAAGCCTGCTCGTCCATCTGAGCTGCCAGCCACTCCGCCTGCATGAGGGGGGGGGGGGGGTGACATAAACAAGCCCGTAAATACGTCTTTAAAACATACTTTAACTTATAACATAGATGAGTAATAAGAACCTGGCTTTATGCGAGACTCTTTAGGCTTTCCTACACTGGGGGGTGTGTTGGGGAGTGTGTGTGTGTAATGTGGCTGTACCGGCTCCGTCACATGTCAGAGGAATGTGTCCCATCAGGAATACACACGACAAGATGAATAAGCTTACAGTGAAAAACAATTATTTCTCATGTGTAGCTTGGGTAAACAATGCCAGACGATCGTTGGTGACCTAGAGTGACTCTGACGATCAGGATTTAGAAAATAAGCTTGAGTGTGCAATAGTATTATTATTATGTTATTTCTACGGTGCTTTTACAAGCTTTAAGAGTGTAATAATAATAATACATTTCATTTATATCGCACGCTTTAAAAACAACGTCATCTCAAGGTGCTTCACAATGCTATAAGGAGAAAATAATAAAAGTTATCTAAGGAGCATATTGAATACAATATGGTAATGTAAAAAAAAGGTTAAGAGCATAAAAGGTTAGAATAATAAATAAAGTAAAGGACAGTCAATAAAATGCGGTGCGGAACAGTGTGTTAAAAAGAATAGGACAATAAGATCAAATGTATCTGAGAAACTTCAACATACAGTATGTAGAGACATCAGTGCTGCACGGGACTATTTAATACATGAATCAGAAAAGTAAATCTGATAACACAAAACAATTGACATTGATCAGGACACCTGGTTTGAACTGGAGATGAGGAAGTTTATCTAAGTATGAAGACATACCATGTTGACATAAATCACTTGCCAAGTAAGCAACACATGTATTACTTCCTCTTAGAGAGCACATACATACCCTGGCAGCCTCCGACAGGAAGTCAGCTGACGTAGCTCCGGCTGGATCCTCATACTCTGGGTGATTGGCTTTACTCTGGTATCAAGAGGAAACACATAGTGAGCATGTCATACTTTCTAACTTAATTCCTAATGTGATTTTAGAAGAACTCGCTGATTCACCTTCGGCTTGTGTTTTTTGAAGCCTTTAAGTTTTGATTTCTTCTTCTGTTGAACATAAAAAGGTGTTAAGATTAGGTGATAAGGTTAAATAACTGCAGAGTAAAGCAGTAAAAGTGACCGTGAGAAATACCGGTTTGCAGGTGTCCACTTCACCCTCCTCGCTGTAATACGTCTCCCCGGGACTCATGAAAGCTTTTCCTGTTTGGGTAACGTCGTCCTCAGCGAAGGGATCCTGCAAAATAATGTTAGAAATAGTCAATACAACAGAAAATATATGAATGCAATCAAAATGTGAATCAAACATACGCTGGCTGCTTGCTGAGGGTTCTGCTGGCTGAATCCAGTCGCCTCTCTCTGACCTTTGGCTGATTTGCGCGGGACGGGAAGAGGGCCTTTCTTTTTGGAGGGTTTCTTAAAGAAGGAACACAATATTTCATGTTAAAAAAAGCTTAAAGAGATTAAGTCTGGACCATTATTACGGTGACTTGGTAGCTACAGTATGTACATGGCATCATCTTGTGCATATCTCTGCTTCATAGTTTCTCTTGGAATAAAACCACATTGTACATTTATATAATCTGTTCAATATTAATGTCTGTCATATGTATATATAATACCTTGTTAAATTCAACATGTATATTTTCTACTTTCTTGTTTATTTCTTGTCTTGAATTTGTATTGTACAATGCCATGTGCGCAATGCAAAAATGTCCCAAATTGGGATCAATAAAGTACTATCTTATCTTATATTTAAAGCATTTAACAATGTACCGGTTTGCAGTCCTCCATCCACTCGTCGTCGTCTAACTCCTCCGCTGAGAAGCTGCCCTTCTTTTTCTGAGCATTGTTGAAATCCAGCATGTTCTCCTATTTAAATAAATGCATTAAAAAATGAGGTAAACACGATTTTCTTCATCTCTTATTGCTTTTAAACCAAAAAAAATTACCCTCGAGCTTCGACGACCCGTTTGTAGCATCTTCATCTTCGTTGGTTTCTTCTATTGATGACAAAAAAAAAAAATACTATTTTAGTGAAACAGGTATATGTTCCAGAAAATGTATGTATGAAATAGAAATAAGATCGTTACAGGTTTGCAGTCTTCCATTTCATATGGGTCTTCGTCTCCATCGAATCCTGCAGACATACAGCGTGGTTTCTGGAAGTGCTTATCGTCCATGTAAGCAGCCTAAGCAACAGATTCAAAAGAAGGTTAGTATTCGAGCAGCATACAGTGAAAACCATGCAGCAAATAACAGTAAAATTATAAAATATGTCAAGAAACACATCGTAAAATGGTAAGAATACAAATAAAGTACCTTGCTAGTTGAGTGAAGAGTGTGGCGTCTCTCTACTTCCTCAAAAGCATCATCCTGTACATTAAATCAGAATTATGTTTAATTTAAAATGCCGTTCTTGCACATTACATGTAAATAATATCCTACTTTTATATTGCGTTAGCCATAATTGCACCCTTCAATAGTAGTTTACAGATTTGTATCTTCAGTCAACTTTTGTATTTTCTATTCTATTTTGAGATGTTTATATTGAGTGATTGTTTATTTTTGATTTCTAATTATGTGCAATACTTTGTTTTACATGCTGCTGCAACTCAAACATCTCCCAATTTGGAATTAATAAAGTATTTTAAATATCTTTAACTTACACGTAAAAAGGCAGTTTCAAGTGGATTTTCTTTAACATCATTATTTTGTATAAATAGCTGTCATAAGCATGCCTGAACTTAAATAGCTAATCAAAATCGTCAACTCAAACTGAAAAAATCAGAACCTAAAAAGCAGGAATAAACCATAGCAATAGAAAATGAGTAAATCAAATCGATAGTTTTCCCATTAAAGACTGCCGTCTACTTCACTGAACTGTAGGGGGTCGTTACCTGGGATTTCGTACGAGGGGTGTAGCCATGTGCTCCGAAAAGTTCATCTTGGGATCTCTCCTGGGAGAAAAAAAAAAAACACACACGTTACACTGCTGGACATGACCGTATGTTAAATACAATGCATAAGCAACACACACATCCTTTACAGAGCCTTGATGTGTTTAAATAGTCATACCTTTGAGTCTTTGCGAGGTGTGTATCCGCGAGCTCCCTTCTGTGTATAGAAAAGTTAAGTTAAAGTGAATGTATCAGTGTATAAACAAATACGTACGGTACATGATACGAGCGATACCTTTTCCACAGTGATTGCAAATCCTCTGTGAGGCACAAACTTAATTTTCATCTTCTTCTTTTTCTTCTACAGAGAGAAAAGAATAGTTTTCCCAAATCAATGCATGCCAGAGAATTCAGTGCTTAAATGTCTCAATATCTAAAGTTGTGTTATTATAAGTATTCGAACGTCCATGGCTGTCAACCTCTTTGTGCTGGGCTCCCAATTCCTCCTCCTCATCTTCTTCTTCCTCCTCCTCCTCCTCTTCCCCAGTGACATCATCCAAAGCTGTCCCCTGTTATGATTGAACACAGCATCAAAAGCTATTTAGCGATTCCTCCAAAACTGTTTACTAAGAAAATCACTTCCTGACAAAGCGTTAACTAAAAGGATATTCATTAATGTGCTTTCTGAGGTTTTTTTCTATAAAATTCAAACGTTTACTACTCGTCAAAAATAAGAACAGAGATGAAGAGAATGGATATTTGTTTAATGTGCATGCTGCAAATATCTGTAAAATGTTTAATATTTCTAACTTTTCTCTATATCAGTGGGATCGTATATTAAATCTTACAGTATGTGATGTATTTGTCATTTTTATTTATTTCTATTAATAAAAAGCCGTTCAATTTTTCAATCCATTCATCTAGCATTCTTTCCTTTTTTGTTATTTCCATATTTACTTTCTTTAAATGTGAAGTACTTTGTGCTACATTTCTCTATATTGGGTTGTTAATACTACTTTGTGCATTTTTCATCAATTACATATAAAAAATAAATAAATCAAAAGGTCGTTTTTTTTTCTTGCATCTTGTCTGAAGCAGAAAATGTAGAAAATAACCAGTTTAATAAACAGTTGTCACACTGCAGGTACTTTACCTCTGACCAGCGGCGTACAGTCGACTCTTTCTTACTGACCCTTTGCCTTCGGATCTCTTCTGCCTGTTGTGGAATCACAAAGACATCAGAATTGCTGAATGGATCAAATAAGTCACACGTATGAAAGCTTTTCACACTACAGGGTGGCTGGAATGGACGTAACTCGCATGGCAAATACAGAAAAAAGAAATAACGTCTCCGATATCTCACCTTCAGGTCTTGAGGTAAATGTCCGTTCATTTGCTTTCCCTCCAGCACGGTGGAATTAGCGGACGCTCTTCTAAGCAGCTTATTGACTTTGGTCTTCACATTTTTCTTCTGATGACAAAAGAATACATTGTTAAAGCATCACTGGTTTATTACCACGACTGAGACAAACAGAATTACTGTCCAGAAACAAAAGAGCATACTTTGTAGTCCATCCCATATTGCTCACTCTCTTCATTCTCTTCTGTAGACATGTTGGTTTCTGATAAATACTCCTGAAAAACAGAATAATTGCATTTAAACTGAGCAGTTATAAAGACATAGGAGTGTTTACATCGTTAATATTTCCATTTGTTATCTAGATAGAGTAGTAGAGAATGTTAAATCCAGAATTACAGATGCTAACAACATTGATTGTGATACCTTGGATGATTTTCTGAGGGTGGGTAGTGTGCTGCTCCTCCGCTCCTCAGAAATCTTCTCCAAACGGAAAAAGATTCATATTACAAAGACTGACATGTAAACACATTAAGAACACTTATTTTGTGTCATTTACCTTCGAACTTCTTCTGGAAAGTATGGACAATCTGAACTTTTTGGCCTTTTTCTGTTAAAAGAAAACATGTATAAACACAAGATTAAAACATAGATTCTCTAAAAATTGCATTTTGAGTGAAACTGGTGTAGAGTTACCTTGACCCCAAAACCATCCAGATCCTCAGCACTTCCTCCTTCAGAGTCCAACTTAATCTAAGAGAAAAATAAGATTTACTTAGTGATTAATCTCTTCTCACAATCAAACAATGCTAACTATAGAATAACGAGCGCCTTACTCTCATTGATTCTCGCCGTAGTCTTAATGTTCCAGACTTTAAAGAGAAAGAAGAAAAAACACAATTCAGTTGCTGAAATGTCTTTAAAATAACATTTAGATAAAACGTGATTAAAATGTTTTCTTACTGGTCTAAATTGAGGGTTAAGCTGAGGGCTGTCTTCGGGCCAGTCCTCAATACATCTTTCCTGTAACAAAATATTTCATGACGTCCCAACAAATCAAACATATAATATTGCCTCAATATAGTGTAGCTCCTAGAGTGTATGTAGCTTCCTCATGATTGCCATTTTCTGACTATATTTTCCTCTTATACTAACATCAAGTTAACATTTCCTATTGTATGACAGATGCCGATATTGAAAAACACTTCAAACTCACCTGTCCCATTAGCAGGATGTCTTCAAAGACAGCAAAGTTTTCCTTTTCAAATTCTTTAGTTTCCTCCTAACAATAGAAAATACACATTTGAAAAAGAAAGTTGTTGTTCAATCGTCAAACTACCCACACATTTTATATTGTTCCTCGTTACAGATGTGGACCGGTATCCTAGAGATGTTTTGTTACCCAAGATAATTAGGTCAACTATCAAAGTGAAAATACAAAAGCGTGCATACCAGAGGTGTTGGTTTCGAAAGCGGTCTGAAGGCTGGTTTGGGAGAGGTTTTCGGTACAATTGCTTCAGGTGCAATCTAAAAAATAGTCCAAAAGAGGTAAAGCAAAAAGGTTTTAACAGTTCAATAATTGCAGTAGTAGAGAAATAAGATCATTATGCAAAACTGTCTTCTTTACATACAGGGTTTGCTGGTGCTGGCGGCCTTTCTGGTTTTTCAGGCTTGTCTGTTGTTTCAATCTAGTCCCAAAGAGGCAAATAGGGTTATTGGCAGCACAGAGTGTGAAGTAGCAGACAGTTAAACAAGCAGAGAAACAAAAACATGAGACTGAATTGTGTTCTTTGCGCACATGGTTTGTCGGTGGTGGCGGCCGTTCTGGTTTTGGTAGCTTTTCTGCTAGGGGTGTCTTTTCTGTCCTTGGTGGTCTAGTTCGAGGAAGTGGCTTTGGTGGACGTTTGAAGTTGGAAACCTGCAAGTTTGATTATAAAAGAAAGTATAAAAGGCATGATGAAAATATGTATTAGAGCAATTATGAACAGTGGGACCCTTAAAACAGGGGTATCAAACTCAATTGCATCGCGGCCACATCAGCATTATGGTTGGACTCAAAGGGCCAGTTGTAACTTTAAGACTATATAAAAATATACATATATAAATATGTAATATATATAAAATAATGTAGTATATTACATTATTGCCTCTGCATTGGATTATTATCGGGTAGGGTAATAACTTCATAATTAGCTACGTCTGAAAGCAGAAGTCTAGGGAAAATAATTGCAAGTCTCTTCAGTGTGCATGTCACAAAACGAGATGCATTGTGGGACATGTAGTTTTTCGGCAATGTGCTTCTGTAAAGCGGCATGTAGATTCAAGATTCAATTCAAGATTCAATGTAACCGTATAATAAACATATTATATTCTTTGCAAGCTCTTGCGGGCCACATAAAATGAGGTTGTGGGCCGGATTTGGCCCACGGGCCTTGAGTTGGACACCCCTGCTTTAGAATGCAATGAACTACAATGTAAATGATTTGATGGTTATCTAAATATCCAATGGTACATACATGAGACTTTTCCGCTGCAGACTGGCTTGGTGTCATGGACAGATTCCTGGCCCGACTGAAGGGACTCGGCTGAAGAATATCATGCGTGCTCCCCTGGGGGGTCGTCAAGATAATACCGTGTTGCCTGATGGACGACTTCGGCCTGACCGCTGGAGGAGGAGCTTTTATTGCCGTTGTCTTGAACAGATCTGGTGACGATAGCATGTCCAACTTCATGTCTGGTGGGCTACTAACAGACGATGTGGAGTAAACTGCTTTAGGGGCAGTATTGCTGAAAGTCATCCCAAAAACATCCATGCTGTTGGTCTTCGAGGGAAGTGGTTGGAAGATATCTGGAGTCCAAGGTGAAACATCTTGGAAAGGATCATTTGATCTCACGGGTGTGGTGCCAAACGGGTCTTCCAAACTGGAAACGTCTTGGAATAAATCCCTTGTAATCGGGCTTGGGAATGGATCGACTGAATTTGTGGATGAAGGTGAGAATACATCCAGATTTTTCTTAAAAGAAGACATGCCAAAAAGGTCCTCTTTCATAAAGGAATCTTGTTTGTTTTCCCCGATGTGGAAGCGTTCCCCATTTCTATTCGGACCTGCCCGAATCAAATCCGCCTCTTCGGTCAATGGCGATGGGTTTGCTATGTTTGGCTGTGAAGACTGGAACAGATCTTCCTCCTTGTTTGTAGGAGATTCAAATGGATCCTCAAAAACACTGAAAGGTTTTTTAAAGAGGTTAACCTCACTTGTGCATGTAGCATAGAATAAATCATCTCCTTTAGCAGCCTGGAAAAGATCGACCCCTTCATCTCGTGTTTCAGATGGCACAGGTTTGAATATATCTGGCAAGTTCAGAGTTTTGTCAAGAAAATGGCCATTGGCAGATGCATTTTGGGCCGATGTCGGTGTCTGGAAGTGGCTTTGCACACGGTTAGGGGCAACGGTCTGGAATAGGTCCTTTGGAAGTTCAGAAAATTCAGCTCCATTTTCAGTACTTTTTTCAGGCTGAAGATCCAGAGGTGAACTCTGAAATTCAGGCGGAGGGACAAAGATGGCCTCAAGGTTTACTGCTTCTGAAGTCTTCCTCCATTCGTCCTCCATCACATGACCAGATCCCTGATAGCAGAACATAAATGTAATTAGGAACAAGCTTAATGACAATTAAAATAGTTAAGAGGAAGTTGTGATGTGGGTTTAGAAGCAGGAGTCCTTGTATTTACCAAATCATTAGTGTAAAAAGGGTGACTTCTGGCCAAACCCCCACTGACTCCATTCTGATAAACAAAGAAAAGGAAAGTAAATAAGAAGTGTTCGATTTCACTTGGATTGTTGAGAGAAAGCTTGAATCCAGTTAAACAGGCATCTGAAGCCTTACCTGGGGATTTAAATGGGGAGTTTCCTGCCCTAGACTCTGAAATAATAAAGACAATGACACAGCAGAAATGTTAGGTTAAGTTAAATGATTTTCAAAATAAGGGCAGGCACAATTCAAAGTATAACAAAGGCTCTCAGACAGCATTAGGTAAATCCCCAGCTTATGTTGTAGCTAATTAGAGCCCAATTAGTTAATTTCAAACATGAAAACACACCCTAAACTTACTTCATCCTTTTCACATGCCGAGTTATTTTTAGAAAAGGTCTAGTCAGAGGCTTACATGGAAACACACCTACATTAACAGTTCATAATATTGTGCTTCAAGCAAACGAAACAACAGACAGGGTGTGGATTCATCATGTGCCGCAACAGTAACAAGATCTTAAAAACATTTCATAAATATTTTTTACGGCAAATTTGAGACAATTCTGATTAAACTTGGGTGTAATTTCTCTAGGTTGTACTACATGTTATCCTGTGCAGATGTTGAGTCTCACCCGTCCGATGTTTAGCTGCTGTTTGTCTGTCACATCTGCGAGATCAATAAGGAACTGCTCGTCCTGTGAACCAAACAAATGTTAAACTTAATAAACAACAACAAATATTTGTGAAGGAAAGCGTGGGAGCACAAAGATTTGAAATATGCGATAAGTGATATAAAAGTAATGCGTCATGTCAGAAATGTAAACAAGATGTTCCGCACTGGTTGTAGGAAGTATTAATAGTACTTTGGGAAATACAGTGGCCAGGTAGTACTTTTTAACCTGTACTTTTGTGTATAAAATAAGCTGAAATCTGCAGTTATCATCGTCCTCCCACCTGTTTGTTCTGAGGCTCATTCATAGATGATCCATTCGAGTCTGAGGTTGAAACAAGAGTCTGAGGAGGCAATAAAAAAAATCAAATGACATTTTCATAAGGGAGCTTTTTATTGTTTCATGTTCATCCAGGATTGTAAGAAGGGAAGACGTCAAAGATACCTCTATTGGTGTTATGGTGTGTGTTTGAGATGCAAAAACAAAGTGAGAGTATGTAAAAGTGTGTTATTTTGTACTGCAAGTGTGTGTGTGTGTGTGTGTGTGTGTGTGTGTGTGTGTGTGTGTGTGTGTGTGTGTGTGTGTGTGGTCTAGCATTACTATACTTGTGGGGACCTAAATCTGTTTACATAGTCACGTGTGGGGACTGGCTTCCCTTATGGGGACAAATTGGAGGTCCCCATGAGGGGAATCATTAATTGTAGGGTGAAGACTTGGTTAGGTTTAGGATTAGGGTTAGGGTAAGGGTAAGGGTTAGGGTAAGGCATGTGTTGGTTATGGTTAAGGTTAGGATAAGTCTCCAGGAAATGCATGTAAGTCAATGTAATGTCCCCTGAAGTGATGTATACATGGTATGTGTGTGTGTGTGTGTGTGTGTGTGTGTGTGTGTGTGTGTGTGTGTGTGTGTGTGTGTGTGTGTGTCCACTAACCGTGTATTGACTTTGGAAAGGGCTTTGAGACACTCTCTTAAGCATCTTTTGTAGCGTCTCAATACTCTGAAGAAAAGACAAACACACAATTACACACTGCTTTTATTGCTGATGGCAAATTGTTCTCAACCAATCAGGTATGTTTCAATAAATTAAACATAAATGAGAATGCTGGATATGGATATGTAATTTTGAGGTATTGGTTGTATTCAATTTTGTGAGATTTTACTCCGGATGGCACATGTTGTACTTTTTATGTCACTGTATGTATTAACGTAAAGGCTGTAGTTTACAGTTTGTTTTTTAAAATCAGCTGATTATGTTTTTCTATATACAAATGATGGGGTCTCAAACGTTTATCACAATTTATGTAAACACATATTTCCAAGGCACTCCTTTATAATGATTGGGATAAACAGGTTTGAAATAATTTCAATGGACAGTATACTATAGGAAAGAAAACCAAATATATCGTTTAAAACTGGAGATAAAAAAATAAGCATACATAAATGTATAAGATATGAATGAACAACAAAAATAAAATAAGTTACATTTATTTGTTATTGGCTATGGTAGGTTATTGGTTATGTTCACATACTTATTTGATTATTAAAATGTAAACCGATATTTTTACCGGTAGATCTAGTAGTAATTATGCTCAAAGTGCACCAGAGTGAAGCATTTTACTTTAAAATGTTAAAACATGTATTCCCGGGGGGGCATACCCCGGACCCACCTAGAGGATGTGGCGTCCATCCCCCATTCTCTTGTGTATTCCTTGGATACTCTATTGAGCTTTATCTTTTCAACTGTACGATTCTCTGGCTGGGGGGGGGGGCTAAAATCTCGCCTAGGGCAGCAAATTGTCTAGAGCCGGCCCTGAGTACAGGAAAATCAGCTTCACTTTGAGCCCTGACAATAACAATTGAAATATGAAAAACGTGGAAAAAGATGGTGGAATTTAGGTTGCTGTGTTTGCTGGGATATTTCTAGAACTAAAGATTCCAAACCACCATCAAAACTTCAACAACTTTGTTACCCACAAATGTTATTTAAAAGTACTTACAGATCTTCTTTCTCCGGTTGCAGCCTCTGCACTTCCTCCGTGTTCATCCGCCGCGTCCATTTCATTATCCTTAAAATAAAATGTTTAAAAAATAAATACAAATAACCCAAAAGAAACGCTTCAAACACAATTTTAAACAATCCTTATTCTAGTAAAACATTAAAAAAAACTTGCATGATTCGCACACGATTCATACGAGATTTAATTAACTGAAGATTTACCTTAGTTGTGTCTCCTCTCATGGTTTGTAAAGTTGCTTAAATGTTCAATTATGAATTAAAAGCGCATTATTTTCTCCATGAAAGATATTTTTACGTGATAAAGGTTGTTTTGTAGTAAAAACGCGTATCCTCGGTATGGACCCACGTTGGTAATTATCTCCCAGTTTGATGCACCTGTGTAAAGGGGAGGGATATCTAAACATCCGGAATAACACTTTCAAAATAAAAGCTTGTATTTGCCTCAGTTTAGTTCTGACAATTGTCTGGTTTAAACCTATGGTTTAAACGTTTAAACTCAAGCTGTCATTAAAACGTTACTTTTCAGTCTTCTAAACTTTGCTAATTTGCATATTCAAGTAGCTTTTTGGCTTAGAATTACAGGGAATCTCAGAAACTGGCAAAAAAAATGTTTTACCTAAATGTCGATGGGAATCTGTAGGATAATTAATCATGATCAACTAATATCGAATAAACAAAAATATAAATAAAACAACAACATATAGGTCACTTTCGTAGCCTACTAAATTAGAATTGCTACACTAGTCAAATTAAGTTGAACTCAAATTAATAGCGTCATTCCAAAGACATGTATTGTGAAAAAAGTAGGGTGGAAGGTTCCAATTTGTTACATCTTCGGTCGTATATAAAATGATTTTCTTTGCATTATTTTGAAGGCAAAATCAGGTAACTGCCGGCATATTTTTGACTGCCTGGATTTGACACATGTTGGTACCTTTCCACCTTCTGTCCGCATCTCAATGCAGACCGACCGGTTGTCCAGCTCAAACCGGGCGGTGTGGTCCCGTGTGTTTACGTGCTCAATGCTGAACTCTGCACAACGATTCAACTTTAAACAAACAAAGTAATTCCATTATAAGTTCCAGCAATGGAGTACAAACACATGTACAAACACATTTATATTGTTCAATTTAAAAAAAGGCTAAAGGCAAGAAAAAATGTATTCATTTTACAAACCACATCAAGGTAAATGTTTCCACCTTGTCTCTAAAATTATGTTTTCTTAAGGGGTCTTTACAAAAAGGGACACCTTTGACCTTAAAATGACCCAGTTACATTACAGCATCAGGTGTAGTATCCCATCAAGAATAATAACTAATAAAAACGTTAAGAATTCCTTTAACTGAGCCTGGTTTTTTAGATTGTCTCATAACGTTGAATTGCATTAGAGTTAAAACAAATGAAAGTGGGGATATATCAGGGAACACACACAAAATAGTAAATGTTGCTGAGACAACAAATTAGAAAAGGTTTAAACCTAAAATCTTCTGATGTAAAACATTTAAAAAAACCAAGCTGGGATATATCTGTAAGGCAAGGCAAGGCAAGGCAAGGCAAGTTTATTTATATAGCACTTTTCAACACAAGGCAATTCAAAGTGCTTTACAAAAAATGAAAGACATTAAGAAAATGGCAGTTAAAATCAGTCATTAAAAAGAAAAGCTAATAAAATAAACATTAAAAGAAAAAAGTACATGGATAAAAGTTACAGTGCAGTTTAAGATATGAATAGTTCAATTAAAAGCAGCGACAAAAAGAAAAGTCTTCAGCCTGGATTTAAAAGTAGTCAGAGTTGCAGCGGACCTGCAGGTTTCTGGGAGTTTGTTCCAGATATTTGGAGCATAATAACTGAACGCTGCTTCTCCATGTTTAGTTCTGACTCTGGGGACAGAAAGCTGACCAGTCCCTGAAGACCTGAGAGATCTGGATGGTTCATAATTTAGCAGGAGGTCAGAAATGTATTTTGGGCCTAAACCATTCAGTGCTTTATAAACCAGCAGCAGTATTTTGAAATCTATTCTTTGACACACAGGAAGCCAGTGTAAAGACTTCAGAACAGGAGTGATGTGATCCACTTTCTTAGTGTTAGTGAGGACTCGAGCAGCAGCGTTCTGAATTAGCTGCAGCTTTCTAATAGATTTTTTTTAGTGAGACCTGTGAAGACACCATTACAGTAGTCGAGTCTACTGAAGATAAAAGCATGGACAAGTTTTTCCAAATCCTGCTGTGACTTAGTCTTTTAATCCTAGATATATTCTTTAGGTGATAGTAGGCTGATTTAGTAACAGTTTTAATGTGACTGTTGAAACTCAGGTCAGAGTCCATGACCAAGAAATGTAATGAAACCTTATATATCCTGATTTAAAAAAAATAATTCTCTGCACCATGCAAACTGTCCTTTATTGACAGTGTTGTAACATTATTTGTCCAACAGATGGCAGATGTTTTTTAAAGATGATTAATACCAAGTATAAGAATCTTGATTTATTTCTGAATCAGCAGCAGATTTTGTTTTAAAAAGCTCAAACTAATAGTGTTTATTTCTCTAAGACACTTTGAGACATATACTTGAAAAGACAGTATAAAGAGGTGTATATATTTGTAATACTTGTTGTTTTTTGTCATGCTATAGCTTTGAAAAACAAGGCTAGACCAAAATAAATGTGCGTAAGTATCAAATGTATTATGGTCTATTATCATTACATTTTTGATGCTGGATTAGTTCGCTGACGAGAAGTCATGTGATTGTGAAGAAAATGAAAGAAAAAACATGTTGGCATTGTGGGGGTTTGTTGGGGAGTTACACAAAGAGTTTTGCCCAACCGTAGCGTGACTTCTGCCTGCATGACAATATTATGGCTGTCATGGGTACCAGTCTCACCCTTCAACGGTGAATTAAAATATTAATGCTCGCCTTAATTTTCAAGTTGTAAAACGTTGATACTGTGCCATTTTAGATTTTGAATCAAACTTTAAAACGTAATTTAAATGGTTTGTTCAAATCTTAATATTGCTTCATTCCCACTTTAGATTTACCCCCAAGGAATAGTTTGTGTTTTAACCTGAAAAACAGCTATTCATATTTTTGGTCACATTGGTTTGAAAATGGGTTGAATCTCAGAAAATGTAATGGGAAATATAGTTTTTAAGGGGAAACAATGGCTGTGTAGCTGACCTTGAGCTTATGTATTGCTTTTTTCTTTTACAGTACATGATACAGTTTACAATAAGCCAAACACAGAAATCGAAAGGGTGCAATGAAATTCCCCTCGAGGCGGTGTCCTGACACGCTTACTGAAAAATGTAAACAAACTTATTTAAAAGACAGAAGCAAACCCTCAGGCTGCAGATCATCTCAGGTGTGCTAAGGAAACTCATCTCTTCTTTTCATCTTTTACCAGGTTAGTAACAAACTATTCCCGGCATAATTCGATACATGCATCAATAATGATATTTTAAGATCTATAAAGTTCAAATCGAATACCTTGATGCTTCTGTGTTTGATTGTCAGAGTAATAATGGTGCATAGAGAATTACAACTGATAATTATATTTTTGTATTTATACCTGTTGAATAGAAATGATTTAGTACTTTGAATATTACATTTACATTTTTGTAGCACATTGTTACCACAATATGACTTAAAGGTCCCATATTATAGTGTTTTTCATCCATGTATTATAGGTCTCAGATATATACAAAACATTTCTCTGAAGTGTTTGGCTCGAAATACCAAACAGATCATTGCAGCATCCCCTCTGTTTTAGCCCTGTTTCAAAAGTGCTGATTCTCTGTCTGTTACTTTAATAATAATAATAATAATACATTAGATGAAAATAAGATGATTCTAGTAGGAGATTCAGGTGATAAGGGGGAGGGGGGGGGGGGGGCGTTACCTTGGGTTGGTGATTGGCTAATGGTTACTCAAGCCAAAAAATCGTTATGACATCATAAAGTGGCCAAAATCTGATCAGCTCATTTCCAGACAGGTTTTTATAGAAATGGATCAGGACAAAAAGTGAGAGAATCTTTGTTCCTGAAACTTTCAGAGTCTCTTTCCACAGAGGGGACACATGTTGATGTAGAGGAGACAGGAAAAAGTGGATACTAGGTGACCTTTAAGTACAGTGTGGACATTGTGTAATGTTTTATTTACCCAAATCCAAGATGTTTTTCTTTCTGTTTTTTTACCAGATTTGAGTTTTTCTACAAAATGTCTGAACCCGACAGCAGTGATGAAGAATTAGTTGAAAGACTTTTTTCTACACTGATTGCTTTTAGTGTCTCCAAAAATCATTCTCAACAAGCTCCAAGGACTTTTCAGAAACATCCAATGGAGCAGAGAGGATGTAACTGAATTATTCAAAGCTCTTCTGGAGCGGTTTGATTCAACAACACAAGACAGATCACATCTCTTCTCATGGATGTTGAACATGTTGCAGTGTATAGAGATTAATTACATCACTCAAGGTTGGAAAAGTCAAACAGGAAAGACCCTTATCCAGCTGGTCCGAGACAAGTCTGTAACAGATGAACACCTTAAGAAAAAGTTAGCCGATGCCCCGGAAAAGTCCCTGGACGAAATCCTTGAGGAAATCCGACAACAAAAGTTAAACCACATTGACGACAAACTTTTGAAAGACGTGAGAGACATTGTGTCAGCAGTTGATGAGGATCTGACTTCTCCCAGTGATGGATCACAGAGGAATGACCTGAACAAAGTATTGCTAAATCTTTGTAGGGCAGTGGAAAAAAGTCAGAAGTTCAGACCGCGACTGACACAGATGGTGAGCTGGTGTATAATGGCCCTTTCCAAAACAGGGCAGTTAATTCAGGTTGGCACTGGAGAGGGAAACTCATGTATAATAGCAATGTTTGCAGCTTTTCGAGCTTTGAAAGGAGAAGAAGTAGACATCTTCACTAGTTCACCAGTTCTTGCAGAAAGAGATTTTGAAGTATGGAAAGCGTTTTATCGTGAGTTGAACATCGATGTCAACTGCAATACCAACAAACAAGTTGAACGCTTAAAAGAGTGCTACGAGTGTGAAGTGGTATATGGTACTGCTGAGGCATTTGCTGGACATTGGCTAGGCAAGCGCTTTGAAAGAATAGACGCATTTGAGCAAAGGAAATTCCAGTGTGCAATAGTGGATGAAGTAGATTCCTTGATGCTAGATAAAGGTAATCACTTTGTTTATATAGCCAGCGATATGCCTGCTTTGCAACATCTCAATCCACTCCTGGCATTCATATGGACAACTGCAAAAAAATACAGTGATGGCTTTCGTCAGGACATTTATTCTGATACAGAGAGTAAGGTAACGGCTGCAGAAGAAGACATAAAACATGCTCTGCATTTTACACCTTGTCAGCTCAAC